TCGGAGGGGGAGTCAAACCATGAGAGACTATGGACTCTGAAAAACAAACTGAAGGTTCTAGAGAGGAGGGGGGTAGGGGGATGTGTTAGCCTGGTGATGGGTATTGGGGAGGGCACGTTCTGCATGGAGCACTGGGTGTTGTGCGCAAGCAATGGATCATGGAACACTGCATCAAAAACTAATGATGTGATGTGTGGTGATAAACATAACATAAAAAAAAAAGAATGAATGGGAGTGAAGAAGTAGAGACAAAAAGTAACCACAAGTTTAGGGTTTCTTTTTCTGAAGTATACTTGACACACAATGTTACATTAGTTTCAGGTGTACAACATAGTGATTTGACAAGTTTATCATTATGCTGTGTTCACCACAAGTGTGGCTAAGTAATGACAATGTTTTGAGAGGTTCTGCTGGGAAGAGGGACTAAGAGGTGGAGTGGTAGCAGCAGGGGATGAGGGGAAGACGAATGCATTATCTGCAAGTCAGTGGCATCTCTAGAGAGATACAGTAGAGAGGGAGAAAGTGATGGCAGAGGAGAGAAAGGCGGGAAACTGCAGGAGTTCAGTCTTTGAGAAAGCAGGTGGAGGGGCGCCTGGGTTGTTAAGCTCAGTTGTTAAGCGTCTGCCTTCGGCTCAGGTCATGATCCTGGGGTCCTGGGATCGAGCCCCGTGTCGGGCTCCCTGCTTGGCGGGGAGCCTGCTTCTCCCTCTGCCACTCCCCCCTGCTTGTGTTCCCTCTCTCGCTGTGTCTCTCTCTTCAAATAAATAAAATCTTAAAAAAAAAAAAAAGAGAAAGCAGGTGGGAAAGAGATCCAGGGCACAAGTGGAAGGGCCAGCCCACCATGGGAGCTGAGATTGCCATGTGGCTGGTGAGGAGCTAGAGCTGGAATTCTGCACTCTGTTCTGCTACAGCATCTGCTCAGTAGCACCAATTCATCCCGTTCAGTTGCTGAATGGAAGAATGTCAGAGCAATGTGGACAGTGTTCATTCACACACATTTTTTCTTAAGTGAAAGAATTAGAATTAAGAATGTCAGAAGGAAAAGAAAAATTCTGAGTTGGCTATGGCAGGGGCCTTTTCAGTTCTATTTTAATACAATTTTTAAAAATAAGTGCCTGTAATATAGGAAGGGGACCCAGGCTCACTGGCTCAGGGTTCTACTTCCATCTACATTATTTCAGAGCTGCAAGCTAGCTTTTCGACTCTTTCCTTGTGGGTGTGTGTGTATATTTTTTTAATAGTCTCCAGCTACTCTGAGCTATCTACCTGGGCTGTCTAAGCTTCCTCACATGGTATCAGTTGCTGTTTTTGTTAGTGTTCTGGTTACAAAGTGGTATACATTTTGAACGGGCTTCTCCAATTTTCCCCATAAGCTCACTTTAGTGGGCAATTTTAATTTTACAGAAAGGGAGGTTTTTCAGGCATTCTTACATTGTGCTATGGCAGAGATGTTTGCATAGTAAATAAACTGGAAGGATAAAGGTCAGAGAGTGGGTAGATGAAATAGAGATTTTGGGGGTGATGAAGTATTAAGTGAGGACAAGGTCTAGGTCCTCAATATCAGGCGTTAATTAGGATTTAATCAGGATTTCTTAACCTGGGGTCTATGGACCTTCTAATGATAGAATTCAGGGAATCCTTGAGTTTGAATGGGGAAAAAATACAGTTGACCCTTGAATGACATGGGTTTGAACTATAGGGGGACACTTTTACATGGACTTTTTTGATAAATACAGTACAGTTCTGTAAATGTATTTGTCTTCCTTATGATTTTCTTTCTTTTTTTTTTT